CATATCTCGTCGAATGAGCAGAGCTGAGTTTTATAAGGTCAAACTCGTCATGTGAAGTTTAAATCCAATAATCAGTTTGAAATCCCCGACGATATAAATCATATCTGAATTTGTCAGATGTTAAGTTTGCTCAATTTTTGTGTTTTGGACTTGAACACCGAAACCTACGCTGATATAGGTAACTCAAAAGTTAAAATGTAGTTGTTATAAAAGTGTCAACATTATTCAAGAACTATTCAGTGATTCTTTTTCTATTTGGATAAAATTTATTTTACATTCATGATCTTGTATGAATATCCCTTGAAAACAAATATCCTTGAGGAATTGTTATTATGAAAGGAGCAAGGAGAATGCATAAATGAGGATATCAATAGAAGAATAAAAAGGTTTGTTTGACACTCTGAACATCTACCCTCCTAACTTGGTCATCAAATGGTCAACCACCAAATCGTCTTAACACAATTCTCTTTAATCTTGTTTGCCACCGGGGGCCAATAAAAACATAAGATTTTTGTGCTAGGTTTGTCATTTTGCATTTAAAAAAGGAGCATTTACATGTTTAGCACACAATTCTTATGTTTTTACATATCTCAAACGTAACATGCATATTTACACACAGGGATAATCACAACATAATTCACGAAATATTGCTATTTACAAAATCTTTCACCCATTTGTTATTTTTTGAACTATTAAACTGTTGTATTTACGCGTGCCGCAATTAACCAATGAAAATTTTATAAAAGTGAAAAAACATAAGTGAGGGTTTTATGATGAATTTTCATTGTTGAGTGAGAATTTTACAGTAGTGTTTGGTTGCAACCTAGATTTATGTTAAATAGGATTTAGCAAATCCAATAAATCCAGATTTCTGGATTTATCAAATCTGTTGTTGGATTTATTAAACAGAGAGCTATGACAGATTAAATCCGCCTCGAAATAAGATTTAGTAGATTTGGATTTACGTCGTGAAACAAAAAGGAATGCGAGAAAAAAAACCGAAACTCAAAATATTTGATTTAAGAGGGCGATGGATTTTATTTTCATTTTCTTGGTGTTTGTATTGACTTAAATTAAATTCATGACTAAATCCTGCTCATAGTATGCTACGTAACACCGACTAAAAATGGATGAAAGTGTGTACTAGATTTGTAAAAGCAATGTTTCGTGTGCTATACATGTAAATGGCACTCAAAAATAATTTTTGTTCTAGGTATGCAAGTTTAACATTAAATATTAGGTTTTAAATGTGAACAAACCTAATAGATGAGCCCTAAGCATATACCAATCAAATATATTATGTATAACATAGAAAAACAAATCAAAAATTCGATTTTTTTTCCAAATACAAAAACTCAAAATGCAAAAAAACTATTTGTTCAATATAATAGAAAACATAGGGGATAATTAGAATCGTGAGTACCTCTGATTTGACTGTAAGAAGTCAATAAATCGTTCACTCTAGACAAAATACGGTCGAAGGGCTTCGACGACTTTCTTATGACCGAGCGCACACTGGAGAAGAAAATGAGGAATTTCAGCATCTGTTTGGATATAAAGATCTTTTGCGGTGGGTTTCCGACTGACGATTTTTAATAACTTAATAAGTTATAGCAAATAACAGTCAGTTAATATCACGTGAGAATTGACACGTGAACTTTCCGATGACTCGAGTCCTTCGATTTATAATTTGGTATGAACCAATTGTTTATACCGTCAGATATTAGTATTAGACCGTCGGAAAGGCTATTTATTAGTTATGTACGGATTAAACCGTCAGACATAAATATACTGTCGATAAGCTGTCATTAATTAATTAAAAAATTAATTCAAAATTTCCAACGAATAAAAGACCGTCGGTTTTAACAGTTTTTCCTATAGTGCAAGGCGATGAATTGACTATGCCATTAGTTTTTTATAAGTTGACGCTTCATCAATTGAGGCAGATGTTAATGTGATGTATATGCATTCAACTTGGTATTTATTTTTATATCAATTATTTATTATATTAATTAGGATAGAAATAAGTATAATTGTATAGCCTATCTGTAAATAGTCAAAGGTTAGGGAAAAAAATATTTTTTGCTTGATGAGGACAAATTCGATCAAGGAAACCAATAAATCACTAGCATATTTATTGTCTATTCTTTTTCATATAAATCGTTCGGAGGAAAACAAGCAATCGGTGCACAACTGTATTTTTTTCACTTCTTAACCGAACAATTGGGTAAAACTAATTTTTTAATTTAATTCTGGCACCATTTCCAATATCTCTTCATTTTATCTATTCCATTTTCTTCGATCCAATGAGATTAGTAGGATTTCTCGACATATAAATATCTAGACAGATCCAATGAATGTGAGAAAAAAACAATAGTATCCAGCAATAATCAAAGAGATTTCATAGAACCACATCATCATTGAGGCAAACGTTGGAATTTTGATACTCCTAAGGATTTTTCCAAGAGATTTTTTCGTAGATCAAGAGAGAAATTGGAATGTCTTTGTAATATACTAATGGTTCTTTACGCATGTGATTATGCTTGAGGAGATGATCAAAACAAGATTTCTGCATGTTAAACCAAAGTAAGGACGAAAATGTGCTATGATATTAACGATAATTTTCCAGGAATTTAAATGTTGGTAGAAAAACCACTTATCCACCTTCTCAAAATCGATTTCCCATCTCTGTTTCTGTCCCCTTTAAATATCTTTGGCATCCTTCTTTCCCTTCATTCATATGTGAAACCTATTTACTCCCCTTGTCTTGTGCATATCATGGATTCACATTATTACCATCAGCATGATTAACAATATAAAATTATTTGATGTTGACTTTTTGGGACCTCATTTTTGGGCTCTCTCTGTTGTATATTTTTGTTAGGTGTTAAATATATTTTGTGCAAGTTTCTTGCATAACTTCTTTACAAGTTACCTTTGATGTAGTCCCTGCTTCCCAGTCTTTTAACATCAACTTTATTTGCCAGTTTTATTTGTGCATATTTTTTCATCATTGTGCATATCGTAGTTTGTTTTCTACAATTTTCAAGATATGTTATTCCAATTATCCCTTTAATACAATTATCTATCAATTTATCATTTATAATTTTACCACACATTCATCGTAACATATCTCTCTATCTTGAATGACATCTAAAAGGAGTTTTATGTTGATTAATCCACAGGCAATGGCATTTCAGCCAGCATTTTTTTTTCTCTCCTTCAGGCCATTCTCTCTCTATCCCATTCTATTCCTCTTTTCATATTAGTTGATTCCTTCATTTCTCTATCTAGCCATGAGGTCCTCAACTCCTCATTCTCTCTTTTGTTCTCAAACCTCTCTCCCTTTGGACTATTTTTCTTCAATCTCCTCTTGCAATCTCTCTAATTTTTTTTTAATTGGTTCTTCTAATAAAATGCACTTTGCGTTGATGCGGGAGCATCTGTTTCCCGCGAGAGACCGTGCCAGAAGCGGTTCACTTGGTCCGGACGATTCACGGGCCAACCGACCCTCCTATTTGTTTGGGGTTGCCGCCCACACCTTAGTTATCTTAGTCTTATATATGTTTTTTCATTTTTAAGGGCAGTTTTGGCGTGTGTTTGTTTAGGACAGCTACCGACATCCGTTTTTCTCACTTCAAGGGTTGCATATGATAGATTGGGTGGTGTTTCAGCTGTATCTCTCTCCCGAGATAATGATTATCTTACTGTCCTCCTCCACATCCTCCCACATCGCTCCCAACTGCCCTTTCCTTCTGCAGCCGCCCATAACATCTTTTTTTTTTTTTGGCTGTTTTCTGCAGTTCATGCCTTGCAGCCCGCCTTCCCTGCCCCTTTGCTGCTGTTCCAGTTGCCCATATCCATTTCCATTGCCAATTCACTGCTGCTTTGACCACAAGAAACACCTCTCTGCAGTCTTGGCTGTTATTCTAGCCATTGTAAACCCCATCTCCGCCACCTATCCACTGTTCCAGCCCTCACCCTTTGCTGCCATCTTCCCAAACAGCCATTTCAATGCTAGCTGTTTTCTGCTTGCCAACCATCTCATCCACCGTCCCGCCACCTTCCAAACCGCCAATCACCACCACCACCCCGAGATTCACCCTAGTCATATGTGTGAGTAGTCTTAGTGTTATTTCCTATTTCAGCATGTTGCATGTCGTGTTTGTTGCGGTCTTACTCTTTCGAGTGTGTTGGTTGTAACTGTCTATTTGCCTTTAGGAACAATATTTACTTTTCTTATTGTGGTTTTGGTTAATTCTGGTATCATTTATTATCAGAACTAGCCCAACCCTAGTCATATTCTAGGCTTTATAGCATCCACCAATACCCAATCGTACATCCACACAAAAATCATTCTTTTTGCTGATTTTTCAAACCGTTCACCCAAAAATTTTCTCTTAATCTACACAAGCTCTACCTTACCTCATCCTTCTTACAAAATCTTTGCTGAATCTGCCACCCTCCAGCACAGTTTAGTTTTTGTTTGTTTGTATATGTCGTATTTTTCTTTCTATATGTGTGTTGGTTGTAAACTCCTATTGAATTTTAGTAATAATATTTATTTATTTTATTGTGGTTTGCGTTAACTCCGGTATTATGTGTTCTCCATTTGGTTGCTCTTTCTCATGACCCAAGAAAGCTTTCTACTATGAATAACAGTGCGAGAAGGAGCCCAGATGAGGGAGAAAGTAAAGAGAACAAGAAGGAAAGAACGTTAATAAAACAATCATAATGATAAGGGAGATTAACTTTATCCATCTAAGGACTCACTTTCATTACGATTGCAAAAAAACAAAGCAATATTTCTGTCCCATATGGCCCTCCATAATTACAATGGTGAATTAGTTCTGGATCGGCACTAAGATGAGGTTTCCTCTCGTACAAAAGCATGAATCACTTGTGCATAGAATCTCGTGTCTACTCCTGCACATTTGCCATCTTCATTATGATGGGCAACCCAGTAGAAAAAACTGAATCCAAGCCTTTCTGTTATACAGAATACTTCAAATAAACAAATGGAAATGACTACTCCTGTCTATACTCGTAAAGTTCGATCTGATGGAGAGAGAATGGACATGACAGCACCTGTAATAACTAAGCAGGCAAGTTTCTATCTGCATTATCTGCTGCATCATCTAAAGAGTGCTGCCATGATTGTCTCCTAGCAAGTAGAAACTGATAGATTGCAACATTGGCCAGTCAGGTGAGAAGTGGCAGATGTCATTTGTGATGCCCCGCAAGAATGGAACTAATTTGCCGTTACCAAAAGATCCTTCTGTAACGATCAAGGTGGTTCCTGGGAAAACTGTTGCAGTTTCAGCTTTTTCCGGTTGGTTTTTATGGAACTACAACTCTTCTCTCATAAAATTACAATGCTGTCATAGAAAAAGAAAAATATTTAAAAAATATTCTTTACCTGATAGTTTAGTAAATAAAATGCCGAGTATAATTCTGGCTTGTTGGTTTTGTGTCTTATGCTAACATTTCTGTAGTTTTCTGACCGACTATATTTTAAATCTTCTAATAAAACTGCAATTTTAACTTCAAAAGCATTTATGCCGAGCATGTTTTGCTGCACTTCAATAGGTTTTTTGACAGACGAAGATGTGAAACGCCGGGAATCGAAGCTACGTGATGCTCTTAAAAATGACTTTGAATTCCAAGTGAAAAGAGGCGCGATGGTTGAAATAGCGCAGGTAATGATCGAGTCTTAGTTGGGTTTATTAATATCAGATTCTCCTGAAGTCTGACTTGAAATTCTTGTTCTCATTATGTTGAAGTATAACCCTCCATTCACGCTTCCTTTTACACGCCGAAATGAAATATCATTGGAAGTTGAAAGGAAAGCATGATAGATGACCACTGGTATAAATGGAAACTGTACGTAAACTGAACTTCTATCTCATACTGAACATATTATTTTGTAGAAAATAAATAAAAATAAAAATTACGTAAACAGCATGCTTTTACACGAAGGCTGTATATTTGATGTATTTTTTTGTGGAGATGGCATATAACTTAATATATTCGAGACTATTTGATAGGCCTCTGTGTGCCCTTTTTTTGTTTAGCTTTGATGTGGAAATTGTTAATATTTACCGTATCCTTGTTCCACGTGGTAATGAAAACTACGGAATAAATTTTATATTCTTAAGAGTAGTTTCTTGTCACTTTCACGAGCTTCGTCCCAAGGCCTGTCGTTTTCATCCAACCACTTGATGCAAATTTTATTTTATTTTATTTTTTCTTTCGATGTATAGATCTTGGCAGCAACTTCCAACACTTGTACGAACCATACTTGCTGAAACCCGCAATTATCACATGATTCTCCCAGAGACGGTAAATAGGCATATATGCTCCACCATTTATTTCAAAATTTTTATTGATAATGATTACAGTTGTATCATTTTCATCATTATTAATTTTATCCTATGATCTCTTTTTTTTGTTATTATCTTAATTTAAAGTTTGCTTTTTAACACTTGAATATCTTATATATTTTCACTTCTCAAAAAGGCACTACAAGCTCTTTTATTGGATGCAACTTCCTAAAATTGCGGTGGGATGTATAAACTGGTAAAATTAACTCCACATAAAGAATGAATTCACTTAACAAACGATGGACCGCATTAATCCATAATGAGTTCCTAAAATTGTGGACTGTAGTCAAATCATATTAACTTCACATTTTTTGTTTAGAGAATGGAATTTATTTGGAAGAGTAAATGCACCAGGAAGAGTAAAATCATGAGATAGCTTAAAATTTGATTTATATTAAAGCTATCCCTCCGATACTTTGTGTGGAACTGGGATATGACATTCTGAATCTGAAGAGGTAGGGTGAGAGTGAAGGAGCCTATTGTGCACTTCTAACCAAGAAGTTGTGCAGTGTCGGACACGTGATATGTCTGATTTGAATATTATTAAAATAAAAAAAAAACACGAGTTTTAATTTATGAATTAAAATTGTTAAAAAAATATTTTTAAAATATCTATGGTATATTTTTTGTAAGTAAAAAAAAATTAAGATTAAACCTGTATGTTTGACTTTCTCGTTTGATTTCTTTTCTCACTGATTAGCTTGAGTGGTTCATCAATTGCTCGTTTATGTATTTATATATATATATATATATAATATATTTATTATTATTATTATTATTATTATTATAGTGGTGTATCCTACTCCTATTTGCGTCCTATATTTTTAAAAATTAAAATGTATCATGTCTGTGTCGTGTCACATAGAAAGGAGCTAAGGTCTAGGCAATGAGTGACTCTTGATAGGCTTCTAGGATATATTTTGTGGGATAGAATGAATTTAAATCCCACGTCATAAAGGGGGAGGGTTACTTGACTAAATATATAAGGTTTATTTTGATGTAGCAGGTGGAGTTTTTTTCCAAACTCTATATTTAAGCTTATTTAAGTTGAAGCACTCACAGGATAGATAACCTTCAGGTAAATTGCATTTACGCAATTTATGGGGTATAGCGTGGTACGTGACAAGTCAGACCTAAGGGAATGATATCTCGAATAATGAGTTGGGTTTTTTAAAAAAAGGTCACATTTAGTGGATTCTTGCTATATTTTTTGCTAAGAGCGCTTAAAATCATGAAAATTTATATCATGTGCTTCATTAATTTTTCACCATTTCAATAATAATAATAATAATAATAATAAGGACATGAAGATTGACATTCATTGAGAAAACAAAATATTAAAATCTGAAGACATTTGTACTAAATTTTGAAGATATTTTGCCTGTAACATTTCGGTGTAAACATTAAATAAGAAAATGAAGATGTTTATAGTGGACTAATTTTTTAAGCTGTTTTTATGAAGTGTTGACATAAAACATAATTGTAAAAATTTGTTATATAATTCAGATTTTTTTCCAATACGTCATTAATACTTTGTGCCACATTTTTTAATGTGCAATTGATTGATTGGAAGTAGATAAGGAGCTTCTGGTAATAATTTTTTGAAATTTCACGATAATAATACTAACATAAGTGAAAAAGCTAAAAATCGTGTTTACTTTTTCTTTCCCGTGCACCTAAAAAAGAGATGTTTTATTTTTTTAATGACGTTTTGGCACCCTTAGTTGATATAAAGGGAATATTGTCTGCAATGCAATCACAATGGATTAATGATTTTTTTTTTTTTTTTTTTTTTTTTTTGTCCCTCTCTTTCACTCATTGCTGCAAAAATTATTGACGTGTTAATACTATAACAGAGAAAAGAGAGAAACCTTAGTACTTTTATATGGTTGTTCATTGCATTTGATCTCTTTATGCCAATTTAATATGCTTATGCATATCATCTTTTTTTTCATTATTTATAAATGAAGTAGTGCAGCATTATTCTTCCTCATGTTAGGAGCTATATTCTCCAGGAAGGGTGGATGCATTAATTCATTCACATTATGAGTGATCAAATAGGTTATTAAGAATAGTATACACCCTTGAAAGGAAGAAATACCATTATGTAATTGATTCAATCATTTAATAAAGATTTCAGAATTGATGAGTCTAAATAAATGAGAGATTTTCCCCACCATATTGTGAGTTAGATAAGATTTATTTTATTTGGGCTGTGCAAGCCTCTATGGTTAATTATCTCATAAAATATGCCATTCACATTTTTTTTTAATTTCTATGAAGGATTGCACCAACGAAATATTTTTTAGCAAACTAACTTCTCTGTTGGGTCAGATATTCATTGACAATCGAAGCCAAAATAAGGTAACATGCAATTGTCGTTTGTACTTTTATTCTATTTATTTACTCCTTTATCTGGCATCACAAATCAGCAAGTTTAATTTTAAATTAAAGCAAGTTATAGCCTGTGTTATTTTATATTTTAGCATCATAGAAGTGATGAATGGAAATCTGGCCATTTGGATTGCTTAAGAAATTGGTTCGAAGGCATAAGATTTTTATTTTTATTTTTGTTTTTATTTATTTTTGGGTTCTCTCAGATGATTTAGTAATTATCAAAGATAAAATATGAATTACAATTTAATCAAAATCATGAAGTTTATCACAGATGATATAGAGTGTGGTATTTCAGTTCAAACGGGTGAAATGAATCTTTCTCAGTTTATTCTTCACTTGCGACACCGAAAACTTCAATATTGGTCCCGTTTCTTTGTAAATTATGATTATAAATCAACATCAACAAAGTTGACATTAACTATTTTAATTATTAAGTGATGTGTGGAGAGATTTTTCATCGCTTTATAATTCTTGAATTTTTGGATTTTGATCCTTAAATATCCACAACACTAGATGTTTTTACACATTTAACATCCAAATCTAAATGACATAAACCATTGAAGTTTGTATTTTATTTTTGAAAATATAGCGATTGTGGTATCTTTCATGCGATCTTAAATATTTGAGTGATATGCATGTAAGCGTGAAGTTTTGGCTGTGAGATATATAAATGGATAAGAATTGTGTGGTATCTAAATCCATTAACATAGGATGCTCACAAGAGGGACCAAACATTTTTGAAATTTTTTCCTACTCAAAGTCCTTTTAATCAAATATTCATAAATAAATAATTTAATAATCAAATGTACATTAAATAAATACATAGGGTAATGAGTGAGTGATATTTAACATAATGAAAATATCTTAATTTATTAGAATTAAATGAAATGACCCCAATAAAACACATTGGAGAAAAAAGTTTCATGCAGCCGACCACATTAGGTGGGATAAAGACTTGTGTTGTTGTTGTATAATATAGGTTATGTGACACAGCTAAAGAATCACACAAGCTTGTAAAATAAGTTAAACAACCTCCGAGTGTGAAATTGTAGAAGAGAATTATGATTTTGTTTAAATAATAATACAAATGACTGACTATATGATGATTGTGTTCAATATAAATGAGTTACTCAGGCCCACCAGTCAGAGTGGGAAAATCTCCAACAAAACAGTAGTCCCAAACAAAAACCAATGTTTAGGAAAATGCTGATGATAAACAAATCTATTTTATGTGATATTATTTTACTTTGAATCTTAAATAATTAAAACTACTTGATCAAAATGATATAAAAATATTAGCATATGACTCGCCAAGTAAACACTTAAGCATACAAAATAATTAAGTGAATATGCAAGAAATGAATCTAGCTATAAAGTAAATGGATAAAATTTTTTTAACATGGTTTTGCTACCTAACCATCCAATACCCATGCTAAATAAAGCCTACACTGAACATTCCACTAATTCCAAGCTACTACTAAAATTCCTTCATTCTTTTTGCCTTGAATCGTCGAAGAAATAATCGCAATATACTCTTCTTAAGAAGGGTGTGCAATCAAGATAACTTTTCCTCTTAAGTTAGGCAATCCAATTCTGTTATGCACTGGAGATTTTTCCTCCAAACTGCTGTGAAATTTTGGTCGCAACTTCGCCTACTATCAAAAAATTAAATGCTATATAATTTCTTAGAAATTGATTGTTGAATATACAATAAAAAGTGGAACCAAAAATGCAAAATCGCGAGAGACAGTGTAAGAACTTCACTCGAGAATTGAGCAGACTTTTATGATGAACATTTCAACAGACTACAAGAAAATAACCTATATATGAAGAAACATTCATTAAAAATTATCTTTATTTTTTCATTGATAGACCATATCTTTGGCGGAACACCATCAAAAATGATTTTTGACATCAGTATATTTGTTAGAAAAGGTTGGCATATACAATCAATAGTATTATGTGGGTAGGTGTGGTGGAAAGCTGAATGTGGATGAAATGATGTGTTATATGCAACCATACTTTTTGTGCCACTTGGATAAAATGAATCTTATAGGGGTAAATAATGAGTGAGTTGTTTGACATGAGTACGTAATAGTTATGACTTAAACCTTTTTGTGCCACTTGGATAAAATGAATCTTATAGATTCTTCTCTATGCTCATTTCCTCCACCAAGTTATATTTTGTAAACAATATTAAAAAAATTAATTATCATACATTAAAACCTATAAAAGACATCAGATTACTGATATTATGAGGGGACTTTCTCTCTCTGTTTTTGTACAAGG